TTATAAATTTTACATAACTAATGTTAGCTAGATTTTTCATTTCTACATTAGACACAACGGTACAGTCCATTATGATTCCTATATAAAAGAAGCCCATTCATTTTTGCATGCCAGAAATCGCCAATTTATTCTTATTTTTCAAAAATATTTTCTTTTCAAATTTGCTACATTTTGTCCTAATGAATTTATTTAAATTAATTGACTCTAGTTATTATACCAAAACTCGAGTTCTGTCTAGACAAATTATAACAAAAAAAAAAACAAGTTTCAGGTGTAAATGCGTGTAGGGCCAGAAGGTGCCGCGGAAGGGCAGGCACGCACCTAATCCGCTGCTAATCATGGCAGCTAATTAAACCGCGCTTTTGCTTCATAATCAAAACGACAAAATTATTACGCCCCACATGGTTTAATTTCACACACAGTTTCCCGGCCACTTTGTTTGCTAATGCTATTTGAATTTCACCGACGGTACTACAGGCATTGTAACTGCCGAAGAAATTGACAAAATTATAAACAAGAACACATGATTTTAATTTGTGGCAATACAATAATCCACAGAGATAATCACTGTAATCAAGGATAATAAACAAATTAATGCTGAATCTATCACGCTCACACTTACAGAGTGATGAGTCTGATGACATACCACTCTACTTTAATTTTGTCAAGTATATGACAAAAGAGTAACATCAAGATGCATGGTATGATACCTAATTAAGCATCCAATGACAAACAATAACCATGCCCATCATTAGTTTCTTTCAAAGTTCTGATAAAGTTGTTTTTTACAACAGGTTTTGGTAACGCTGTTAAAGCTAAGTCATGTTTGTATTTAGTTGGGTACTGTTCACAAATACACAAGATTGTGTGACATAATCTTGTTCTACGAGGGGTAATTGACTGACCGGCTATAATCATATTTTCTATATGTTCCTTTTATGTGTTATGCTCTTTATAAAATAAATTGTTGATGTGACTTGAATCGGACTATCAGCCGCTACGATTGGTAATCGGGGGTCTCCCTGACCGGTCAGCGAGTGGGGTCCAGGGGCAATGCCCCCGGCCCACGGTGTATGGGCTCAATGTTATTTGGGTTCGGGTTCTAGGCCTGGTCTGTAACCGTTTCCTTTGCCAGATTGGATTAGGTTTAGACCCACATAGAGAAGTACTATAAATACTTCTCATACTCCTCTGTAATCTCCTCGATATAGTGAAACTGGCTCTCTCTCGCCCGTGGACGTAGCTAACACACATCGTGTTAGTGAACCACGTAAATCGTGTGTCTGTGTTTTTCGATTCTCGCTTCCGTATTCTTGTTTTATCGATTTTCGATTCTCGCTTCCATATTCTTGCTTTATCGATTCCGACGATTTCCCGATCTGTAGCAGCGCGTTTTTAACAAGAATAAAGATGATCATCGTTACATAAATGTATATGAGTTGGAGTGTCATTTTTGTATACGTACCCTGATACTTGTACAATCAACAAGGTAAAGGAGAAACAAATTACAAGCTAATACCTTGATTCAGTTTTTTTAGATAAGATTGATATATGTTATTTTTTTGTTATTATATGAGTTGGAGTGTCATTTTTGTATACGTACCCTGATACTTGTACAATCAACAAGGTAAAGGAGAAACAAATTACAAGCTAATACCTTGATTCAGTTTTTTTAGATAAGATTGATATATGTTATTTTTTTGTTATTAGGTACTACTAAAGGGACTCGAACCTGGGACCTCCAGGTTCATGGCTAGTGGTATCACCACTAGACCAATCTCTTGTTCGTACCTTGATTTAGTTGATTGAGCTTTTTTCATGCCCCGATAATTAAGAATAGCTCGTAAAATTATCCATTCTTTTACATTTTTACGTTAGCTTTCAAACAATTTTATAATATAAAAAGCGACACCAGTCATACATAAGACTCGTGAAAACACAGACAAATCACATCCCATGGTGAAAAAAAGTAAAACACACAACCCACCAGGCACCAACTATATTAGTAAAAACGAGAGGAACTTCAGACAACTCTTTTTGTCACCATAGGTATTAATTTTTACCAACCACAGAGAATTTCACTTAAGGGCTTGTTTGCTTGATGGATTTGGTGATGGATTTGGTGAGGGATTTGGATCCATCATGGACTTTGTCCAAAATCCATTGTTTGTTTCATGCATTTAGGGTAAACAAATCTGTGGATCCCACGAACTTTAAGGGACCAAATCCGTGGACCCCACAGACTTGAAAATTCCACCTATTTAGGTGGGAATTGATTATGGACTTTGAAGTCCAACATTTTTTACCAACATACCCTTCATATTTATTTTCTCTTCTTGTATCATTAAGGGCAATAAAAGTAAATTACACTTCATACATACAAATTTAATTAACAAAATTCATCATGAAATCCATCAAACAAACAATTGTGTTTATCAAATCCATAATAAACCTAAAACCCTCATATATCCATGGTTTTTCAAAACCCAAATTATATCAAAACCTTCATTTTTCAAATTCACGAGAGAAAAGAACTGAGATGGTCCTGAAGTTCATCGATCTCTCAATTTGTTAATTATGGATTTCCTACTTAATACTTCGAAAGAGATTCAAAAATAGTGTAAGGCGGGAAGTAATGAATGCAGTTTAAGTTAAAGAAAAATGGGGCCGGAAGAGACAAAAGTAAACCACTCAAAGTGAAAAGAAGTGGAAGTGGCCGGCCCACTGAATAATGAAACTCTCAATCACATGCAAGTCTTGTTCGTCGCGTCAAAACAAAACACCGATCTGATTAAATTCCAATTACATTTTTTATGGTAATGTAATTTAAATTAAATTACAGTGAGAAAATAAAAATGAAGGTAGTATTCTGAATTTCTGATCATTTCTTCAAATTACCCACTCACCAGTAAGTCACCCCTCCACACCACTCACGAGACCAAACACAATGGACATAAACATGACTTCTCAAAGCACTTGCTGTGTCATATTTTTGAAAGATCAATGAACTTGTAGATGTTTGCCTAATCATTCAACCCATTTTGGAATGTCGTGAAAGAAACATAGTCGTTTCACTGCTCCAAAAATACGTTGGTAGTGAAGTATCTGTGGCGAAATGTGAAGATATAAGTTATGTATCACTAATGAAGAAGGAAAACATGATTTCAAAAAATAAAAACACAAATATTGGTTAGGTTCTAGCATTCTAATGGTAAGACAAGTTAATTTGATGTTTTTATGAGCATTATGTAAGACGGCGAAATTTATTTTAGAAATTAAGCGGATCATAGTAGAAGGTATTACTAAATACTAATTGATAATATATTTTTGGGTAAATACAATATATTAACCATAATTATTAAGTAACGGAGAATTATAGCCACAACTATCGAAATACAAATTATTAGCCGTTGAGCATGCGCTGCTGACAGCTGACGATCGAAAGGAAGTTTCAGAAAAATCCTAGCTATCGGAATTGGGAACCGGCAGGCCGAGAGAGGATGATATAGAAGAGACGGTAAGAAGTGAGCTCCCTTTGTGAAATTGGGTGGTTCGTGATCGGAAATGAAAGATGCAGAGATGGAGAGTGAGATGATGTAAGATGTCAGCCGATGTACTTCTTTAAGAAGATGGAGGAGCTTGGGAATGGTGAAGAGTGAAAATGGTGTTCTTCGTCCTCGAGCGGCGCAGCAACAAAGAAGACGACGACGGCGGGCGGAGCAAAGCGAAGTAGTGGCGAAGCCAGGATTCAAACATACATGTGTCCTCTTCTCATAAAATAAATTAATAAAATTAAAATTAATAAAATTGGAAATAAACAAGAAATAATATTTAGTGTAGTGATATGAAACTTATTCATTATCCAAAAAGTCAATGGTTCAATACTTCATATAGGGATCGAAGTTTGGTACCGGTATTTGGGATATACTGTATACCGTACCGAATTTATCACTATTAGGTATTATCGAATATCAGCTTTTTTTTTCCCCCGTTGAATCAGCTTATTTTTTAGGAATTGGGATTGAGATTCATTTTCAAGTGTTATTCGTTATCCTAGCTCTAGGCAAACTCAATACTTGTTGCTTAGTCTCTTTGCCCTAAATTAAACAATTAAATTAAATGAAATTTATATATTTAATTATTAACTGCAAAGATAATGAATTTTGTATTCGATAACATTGATTGTGATACCAAAATATTTAGGAATTGAGATATCGAAATTATTTAGAGATTGAGATTAACATAATTTTAAGATGTAATTCCTTATTTAAGATTTCGGTATTGGTATTCCGATACCAAATATCATACCAATTTCCAACTCTAACTAGATACACATATGGATATTATTTCTCTACCCAAAATATCACCTGTGTCCTAGGACATTGAAAGTAGCCTGCCTCCGCCTATGAAGCGAAGGGTCGTGATTTTAAGGCGATGCAAATTAGTTATGGACTGGGGTCAATTGTGTAATTTTAATTTATTTTAGGACAATAATTTTAAAATTTTAGGTGGTTAATTAGTAACCCCGGAGGGAAAAACAAACTTTGAACTCAGAGAACAAAAACCCTCAATTCTTTTTCCAATTTTCATTTATTTTCTCAAGAACAAAATTTTCAAATAAACACAAGAAATTCCAATCGTGGAGTATAAGCTCTCCTGCTAATTTGCGGCGAGGTGGGCCCCACCACCGACACTCCTTTTCTCCTATTTTCTATTTACTTCTATTTTCTATTTACTATTCCATGTCAATAAATAAAATAAAAAATAGAAGGAAGAGAAATTTCCCTCTCTTCTCCGCGGCGCACAACATCCCTCTGGTAGTCTGTACCGCACTTAAATACCGCGCCATCCCCCGCCTCCGTCATTCCATTCCTCTCAGCCCAACATTAAAAAAAAAAAAAAGTCCTTTCTACTTCTTCTTCCCCTCATTTTCTCGCCTCCCACAATCTCACACTATTCAAAATTCCCCAACCACACTCTCATTCCCCCTCCGAGCGAGAATGTCTCGGGAATCAGCTGGATCTCTGCCCTCCTCTGTTCTCCTCCTAGCCGCCGTGTCTCTTGTCGCCATCGTCGCAGCCGAGTCTCCATACCGCTTCTTCGATTGGAACGTCACCTACGGCGACATTTACCCGCTCGGTGTCCGTCAACGAGTGCGTAAATCCTCCTGATTGAATATCTTTTTCCTGTGATCATGAACTTGGTCTGATTATCATTTTCCTACGGTTTTTGTGTGACCTGTCAAAAAACAGGGGATCCTGATCGACGGCGCATTCCCGGGGCCGGACATCCACTGCGTCACCAACGACAATCTCATTATCAATGTGCACAACAGCTTGAACGAGCCTTTCCTCCTCTCTTGGTAAACCTAAACCCTGTGCACTGCTTTCTTTCTGCTTTTTCACCCACTCTGTTCCGGAATCTTTCTCTTTCTTGCTTGCTTTCCCGTGAACTTTCCGTATCGGGGAAGCAGCAGAAAAGAGTTCTGAACCGTTTTGTTTCTTCCTCCTCCATCGGGAACCCGCAAATCTTATATTTAAGTTATTGAGAGATAGTTCACAATTTCGAGGAAAAGCGCTCAGATCTGGAATTATTTAGCTCATTAAAACCCCTCGCCAATGGCCGCTGGTTTTTTCTTTCCATTCTTGCGGCCATGGCAGCGGCAGCTTGAGGCTTGAGTAAGCAAAGAACAACTCCCCCATGTGTAAAATTGAACTCAGTGTCTCACTGCCCAGCTTGCCTCCATCCATTGATGTCACTTTCTGCGAAATGAATTAAAAAAGTTGGGGAAAAGTGATGGGAATGTTTGCTTGTCGTATTCTTAATTACTCAATTTTAATTTTAATCAGTGATCGTCATTGATCCAAAGCATCAAGATCTTGTCTAATATGCTTGATTACCCCCTTCAATCTCCTGAACTGATAATACTTAGTAATTATTTTTTAACTTGGTTTAGTTGTTGGTCCAGTGAACTCCTATAATCCTATTCACTCCCGTAACGACATTCCCTTTTCTGGAGTCAGCCAATTAAGTAATCTCTTTCTTTCAGTCTTTTTCGGATTTCTTAACAGTGCCGCAATTAGTTGGGGAATTCCGTCTAGATCTATTTCTTGCTGTCTTCCATTTTCAGGGCCAGCCAGCCAGCTCATACTGGTAGCTGGAAAAGAAAACCCAAAGATACGCGTTGAAAACCGGAAACCCTCAACATTCATTTACTATTTTCTGTTTTTCTTTTCATTTCCTCCCCTGCCCTGCTATTCCTTCTAACTCCACCGCCATTAATGAAGGCGGAGAATTAATTGACAACTAAAACACCCATTCCAATTTATTGCCGGTACTGTTGAGATGGGAACTTATTATGGGTTTAGATAAGTAGATTAGCTTATATGGTTGCTTAATTGGTTTAATATAGGAATGGGATGCAGCAGAGGAGAAACTCATTCGTGGATGGTGTCTACGGCACCACGTGTCCGATCCCGCCGGGCAAGAATTACACCTACATTCTCCAAGCTAAGGATCAGATTGGCAGCTTCTACTACTTCCCTTCGCTTGCCTTCCACAAGGCCGCTGGTGGGTTCGGCGGGATCAGAATCCTCAGCCGTCCCGGGATTCCGGTGCCTTTCGCTGACCCCGCCGGCGACTACACCATTCTCATCGGAGATTGGTACAAGTCCAATCACACGGTAAATTCCTTTATTAACGATCTCATCATAATCTTTAATTTGTTTCCTTCTGTGGGCAGTATTGAGCTTCCTCGTCGGCAGCTATTTGGATTGTTGTGCCTTTGAAAAAGTTTCACAGCACGGGAAGGAAAGTTATTGTGTCATTTTCTCAGACCGTGCTTGGAACCAAGAAATGGAATTACTTATTTCTTTTTAGGATGCATTGTTCGGATATTTAATAACATAGAAATGAAATTAATTTAAGGTAAATTTGCGGGTAGAAGTTGATTTCTTGGAATTGTGGAATTTGTAGGACTTGAGAGCCCGATTGGATGGAGGCCACAAGTTGCCTCTGGCAGATGGCATCCTCATCAATGGTCGTGGATCTGGCTACGCCCTCACGGTCGAGCAAGGTAAGAAATAAAAAAATGAAAATCGATTTTTCTTTCTTGCTTGTTAGATTTGAAAACAAGAGTTTTTATTTTTTAGTTTAAAAAATCTTTGAATTTTTTATGGATTTATTGATTTAGTTGATCTTTATCGTGAATTGTCTCATATTTTTGTTTTTTTTTATCAAATCCCAAATGAAATATGGGATTTGCAAATCAATGGGATTCACGGATTTGAATATAAAAAATGTCCAAATCCGTGGGCTCCACTAATTTGTGTCTCTCTACAAACAATGAATTTGTGTAGATTTGAGTGCCAAATTCATCACCCAAATTCCACAAGCAACATAGTACTTTAATGTTCCCGAAACTGTATTATGAAGTGTTGAATTGGAGCTAAGTCAGACCATTGTTTGTTCTTCTTTTACCAGGCAAGACCTATAGGCTCAGGATATCCAACGTTGGGCTACAGAATTCGGTCAACTTCCGCATCCAAAACCACAAGATGAAGCTGGTCGAAGTGGAAGGAACGCACACTCTCCAGACAACTTACTCTTCTCTTGACGTCCACCTCGGCCAATCTTACTCCGTTTTGTTCACCGCCGACCAGCCAGGGCAAGACTATTACATCGTGGTGTCTTCCCGATGGACAACTCCGATCCTCACCACTACTGGTGTTCTGCACTACAGCAACTCCGCCGGCCCAGTTTCTGGCCCACCTCCAGGTGGCCCGACCGACCAGGTCGACTGGTCCCTCAACCAGGCCCGCTCCATTAGGTAATGATTTGGTACAGGAAATATTTGTACTTTTTTGACATTGGTCTCTCAAATTTTTGCTCAAAAATATTTTTGTGTTACCGGCAAATAACAACCCTTTCGCTTTTTTTCAGGACTAATCTAACGGCAAGTGGGCCGAGGCCGAACCCACAGGGCTCTTACCACTACGGCATGATCAACTTGACGAGGAGCATCGTTCTAGCCAACTCAGCTGGTCAAGTGAACCGCAAGCAGAGATACGCCGTCAACAGCGTGTCGTTTATTCCAGCCGACACTCCTTTGAAGCTTGCAGACTACTTCAAAATCCAGGGGGTTTTCAAGGAGAACAGCATCTCCTCTAGGCCCACGGGCGGGGGCATCTACCTCGACACCTCTGTTCTCACCACTGACTACAGAACGTTCATCGAGATCGTGTTCCAGAACAACGAGGATATTGTGCAGAGCTGGCATCTAGATGGTTACAGCTTCTGGGTCGTTGGGTGAGCACATTTGATCATCTGTTCTCATAGCCTGGTTATTAAATGATCAAGTTCTGTAAATTTTTCCTTGGTTTGTGGGCTGTATCGTTGGTTTGGGTTGTGAACAAGTTGGGGAACTTAATGCGTGCAGTTTGGATGGCGGGCAGTGGACGACTGCCAGTAGGAACCAGTACAATCTGAGGGATGCGGTTTCGAGATCCACCACACAGGTAACTTTTCAATTCAATGTTCCTAGTTTTTCAGTTACTACTGCCATTGCTAAGTCTAATAGAAACATACGCAATTTTTGGGACAATCCCGCACGGTTAGTACGATATTGTCAAATCGGGCAGCCCATTAGTACGATATTGTCCGCTTTGGGCCAAGCCCGCACGGTTTTACTCTTGGGTGTCCTCCCCAAAAGGCCTCGTACTAATTGGGCTAGATGGACTCTAATATACAAGGGTTCCTTCCCTTGTATTTCCGATGTGGTACTTGGATTGTCCCATAACAATCCTCCCCTCAAGCCAAGGACCACGAACATCGTGTCCTCACCTTAGCGATTATCTTGATCCGCCAGGCACCTTGTATCGATGGGCTTCTCGCTACAAGGATTTTCCAGACGCGGAACTCTCTTTGATCCGCCAAACAGACGTGGATCTCTCTTGGATCCACCAAACGCAGAACTCTTTTTGATCCCCGCCAAACAGACGTGGATCTCTCTTGGATCCACCAAACGCGGAACTCTTTTTGATCAGTCAAGCCAAAATGTGGATCTCTCCTGGATCCACCAAACCAAACGCAGATCTCAAACCCCGAGGTCACCGAATGAGGGTCCACCAAACTGACGTCCACCGCCCCGGACCGAACCAGGCTTTGATTCCACTTGTCATAACTGGGCAGCCCATTAGTACAATATTGTCCGCTTTGGGCCAAGCCCGCACGGATTTACTTTTGGGTGTCCTCCCCAAAAAGCATCGTACTAATGAGATTGGTGGACACTAATATACAAGGATTCCTTCCTTTGTATAACCGATGTGGTACTTGGATTGTCCCATAACAATCCTCCCCTCAAGCCAAGGACCACGAACATCGTGTCCTCACACAAGGGTTCCTTCCATTGTATAACCGATGTGGTACTTGGATTGTCCCATAACAATCCTCCCCTCAAGCCAAGGACCACGAACATCGTGTCCTCACCTCAGCGATTATCTTGATCCGCCAGATGCCAATCGATCCATCGATACAAGGACTTTACCAGACGCAGAACTCTCTTTGATCTGCTTCCCAAATGTGGAACTCTCTTTGATCCGCCAAGCCAACTCTCTTTGATCTGCTTCCCAAATGTGGATCTCTCCTGGATCCACCAAACCAGATGCAGATCTCAAACCCCGAGATCACCGGGCGAGGGTCCACCGAACTGACGTCCACCGCCCCGGATCTGCCGAACCAGGCTCTGATACCACTTGTCATAACTAGGCAACCCATTAGTACGATATTGTCCACTTTGGGCCAAGCCCGCACGGATTTACTTTTGGGTGTCCTCCCCAAAAGGCCTCGTACTAATGAGATTGGTGGACACTAATATACAAGGGTTCCTTCCTTTGTATAACCGATGTGGTACTTGGATTGTCCCATAACAATTTTATTTGATTTGTATTCCATGATTGAATTCGTTACTTTTTCTGTTTAGTCCCGTTGGATTCTATGAAAGGCTGACCACACATCAGAATCGATTTACACTGAATCGTGTTAAATGCGTCATTGAATTGGTTCAAGCTGACATGTTTGCAGTTTTCAATGTTTTAACGGGTTATTCGACGGATGTTTGGATTTTGCAGGTGTATCCCAAGTCATGGACTGCAATCTACATTGCTCTAGACAACGTTGGAATGTGGAACTTGAGGTCAGAGTACTGGGCGAGACAGTACCTCGGTCAACAGTTCTATCTGAGGGTTTTCACAACGTCGACTTCACTGAGGGACGAGTACCCAATCCCCAAGAATGCACTCCTTTGCGGCAGAGCTGCCGGCCGGCACACACGGCCGATGTAAAGAAAAAGAAAACACGATCCAGAGGTTCTGGTAATTTATTGTCGGGGGTGAAAGTTGGGATTTGTGGCAGATGGAGATTGAGTAAAGAGTAGGGAGTGTGGATTTAGGGGAAAATTATGGAATTGCGGAACTCTGCCGATTGTACCATTTGTGAAATTGATATAACGAGACCTCAGCTCGAGGTCACATTGTTGATTCTTTTTTTTAACTGGTGTTGTGGCCTATGAGGGTGGATAAATGATTGGATGAAAGTTGTTAAAAGGATTCAAGGTAGTCCATACACGTTTTATCCTCCTTTTTTAGAAAGCCAACCAAATTCTCAGTTGGTTTGTAAGCTTGTAAAACTTTGTATTGATATATACTAGCAAAATCCCGCTCCGTAAGCTTGTAAAACTTTGTATTGATATATACTAGTAAAATCCCGCTCGTTATCACTTCGCGTATTAGAAAAATAAATATTTTAAAGAGGAATAGTTTTAATGTTGATTCAAAAATGAAAGTAATAAGTTTGTTATTTACAATAGCATATGATAGAAGGATCGTTGAATAGATTATTTATGCTTAAACTTCTTGCATGACGCTATTGTTTCAATTTGTAAAGCTAGTAGTTGATCCTGCTGTAACTTTTGCAGAATGAAGTAGCTTCTCTGGAACTTTTCAAGAAGCATTTAAAAAAAATATTGAGTGTTTAGCTGAAAACTATCAGAATTACTTTCTAATATAAGAGGTAATATAAAATGACTATAAAAGATTTCTAACATAAAATATGAATACAAATTCTAAAAATAAAAGATATTTAAAATGGATCACGTTAGATTTATTTTATATTAAAAATACTATTTTCTTATATGAGTGTGAGTCCTAGTAGTTCATGGGCATGGAGAAGGGTCCTCAAGCTCAGACCACTGCTTCAAGCTCATTTGACACTGTCTGGTAATGTTCCTAGTTGGGATGGTAAGCTGATGCCTGTTTACAAAGTTTCCACTGTGTGGAGTTCCTTAAGGACTGAACATCAAAGGGTGGACTGGGCAAAACTGGTATGGGGAAAAGGCATCTGCCTAACAATAGTTTCCTTGCGTGGCTTGTTTTGTTGGACGGTATAATTACTAGAGATAAGTTGGTAAGATGGGGTAAGACAATGGATGGCACCTGTTTGCTTTGCAGGGGCTCAACAGAATCTAGGGAGCACCTGATCTTTCAATGTAATTACTCTATGCAGGTGGTTTCGAGCTGGAGAGAGGGTCATTTATTGTGTAGACCAAGTTGGCAGGAAAGTGTGCAAGCTGCTGTTGTTCTGAACAAGAAAGGGACTTCGGTAGGAAGGCTTGCAGGGATTTTCTGGTGTGCTTGTATTGCTTACCTATGGCAGGAGAGATGCAGCAGGCAGCACCAACTACCCCCTAGGGAGGCTGTTGTTCTTGGTAGATTGATTGTCTCGGATTTATTGTATCTAGGTAGTGTGAATATTGATTTGCAGGTTGATCTAAATGCTGCTGGTTTTCTTTGAGTTGGGATAGGATACTGTGTAGACAGATGGGAGGCTTTTTGAGAGTTTGTTCTTTCTGCAGGGTTACTCACATTGAGTGGCCCTTTTCTTTGTATGAGACTCTATATGTAAATTGCATATAGTTTTGGCAATACAATTGCACCTGATTCAACGGAGGAAAAAAAATGAAAAAAAATTATAATTTATAGTTAGGACAATTTTGTATTTTCAAATTGGAGCTTCTTCCTTAAAGTTACGAAAAACTTCAGTTTTTTAAAAAGTGGAACTTTATAGGAGTTTGGCTTGGTTTCAACTTTTGAAACATAAAACTGCTAAAATTCGGGCCAAACATAGTCGTACACTTTTGGCTTTTTTTTTGTTTGAGGTAATCGTGGTTCTCCTTTATGAAATTTTTGAACTAATTGCTAGTTTGAAAAGGTTCAACTTGTATTGACCGGGTTAAATTAGGTTTGGATACCCATGGATTTGGGTTCAATTGTCTTTCTCAAACAAAAGGAAAAGCAAAATGGAAAACACTAAAGCTAAAACTCGCTATCGACTCAAAACTCGTCACACCTGACACAACCCTCAAATTACAAAAAAAAAAAAAAAAAAAGAACTCGCTCCCGCCGAAAACCTGTAAAATCGGGTTCAAGTCGCTTTGGTCGGGCCGAATTAGGTCGCATACCCATGCGTTTGGACTCAATTGTCATTCTCAGCCAAAAAGAAAAAAAAAATACTAAAGCGGATAAAACTCGCTCATGACCTTCAAACTCCCAACACTGCGTTCAACTCGCTTTGACCGAGTTGACCCGGTTTTAACAAATTCACAATTTACCCAACCTGTTAATTACCAAAGCGGATAAAACTCGCTATCGATACGAAACACTTCAACAATGGGTCAGAATTCAATTGTCATTCTCAATGAAAAGGAAAATAAGAAATTAAAAAATATTAAAGCGTACAAAACTCGCTTTCGATCTAAAACTGGTCAACAACGTGTTCAACTCGCTTTAACAATTTTTTAACAAATTAACACTTGGTCCAACCTTCCAACTACAAAAGCGGATAAAGCTTGCTCACAATACAACACTCATCAATACCTTAGATTCAGGTTCAATTGTCTTCCCAACCAAAAGAAAAAAATAGAGAAATTTATAAATGCTAAAGTCGGTTTCAAGTCTCTTTGACCGTATAGAATTAGGTTGGATACCCATGGAATTGGGTTCAATTGTGATCATGATCAATAACAAGGAAAAAGTGAAAGAAAAAACACTAAAACAGACGAAACTCGGTCCCGATACAAAACTCGCTAACGTTGAGTAGATATGGTATGGATTTTCGGTAGCGACATTGGGAAACGGTGGAGGGGGACAACTTAGGATTTCGTGATAGTGTTTTGAGAAGGTTGTGAATTGGTGAGCGATGTTAAGGATTGGACATAGCATATCTAGCATGGATATTTGGTCACGACCATGAAAACGGTGGAAGATGACAACTCGGGATTCCACCGACAATGTTTCGAGTTGGGTTGCAAAATGGTGCGAAAAGTGGATAGTTGTTTCAATAGGGAACTGAAAACCTAGTAGGCAATAATTGTTATGAGAAACACAATGGACAATAGATGTAAACCTAGCGAACACCCATGTGTTTAGGTTCAATTGTAATCATGATTAACAAAAAGTAAAAGAAAAAAAATAATACTAAAGAGGATGATACTCGGTCCCGATACAAAACTCGTGGTAGCGGGCCTTGGGAAACGATGGTGGGTAACAATTAGGATTATGCCGACAGTATTTCGAGATGAACTACAAAATGGTGGGCAAAGGCGATGATTTGTGTACAAGTTAGGATACTCATGTGTTTGGGTTTAATTGTGAGCATGCTCAACAAAAAGGAAAAAGAGAAAGAAAAAAAATAATAAAGAGGATGAAACTCGGTCTCGATACAAAACTCGTGGTAGCGGCCTTGGGAAACAGTGGTGGGAAACAACTTAGGATTCCGCCAAACGGTATTTTGAGATGAGCTGCAAAATGGTGGGCAAAGGTGATGATTTCTGCAAAAAGTCATAGACGAAAACCTAGTGGCCTTGGGAAACAGTGGTGGGGAACAACTTATGATTTCGCCGACAATATTTCGAGATGAGCTGCAAAATGGTGGGCAAAGGCGATGATTTGTGCAAAAAGTAATATATAGACGAAAACCTTGCGAACAATAGCTAAACACAAAGGCGGTGATCCGTGCAAAAAGTCATAGACGAAAAACCTAACAAACAATAACTAAACACAAAGGTTGTAGAATGGAGAGTGGGGTAAAAGAATGACTTGGAACTTCCCCACTTGCACTTGGAGGAGTGTGAGAACCACTAATGAATAGTAACTTAAACTTAGGCTTTTATGTATTAATATATTCGCCGAAAGTATTTCGAGATGAGTTGCAAAATGGTGGGCAAAGGCGATGATTTGTGTAAAAAGTCATATATAGACGAAAACCTAGCGAACAATAACTAAATACAAAGGCGATGATCCGTGCAAAAAGTCATAGACGAAAAACCTAACAAACCATAACTAAACGTAAAGATTGTAGAATAGAGAGTTGGGTAAAAGAATGACTTGGAACTTACCCACTTAAATTTGGGGGAGTGTGAGAGCCACAAATGAATAGTAACTCAAACCTAGGCTTTTATATATATTAATTAATTAATTGTAGAATGGAGAGTTGGGTAAAAGAATGACTTGGAACTTCCTCACTTGCACTTGGAGGAGTGTGAGAGCCACTAATGAATAGTAACTCAAACCTAGGCTTTTATATATTAAAAAATATATATTAAGATTAATTAATATATTAATTGATAGGCTCATTGTTACTTCAGTGTTGTTTTCAGTTTTAATCTATAGATTCAACTTCATTTATATGTTACTTTCGAGTTCAACAATCAAAATGTCATTACGTGTGTTGTAAGCATGTGTTAATTTGGGTGAACCAATTATACTAAAAAAGGTGTTGAGTGTTAGTAGTGATAAGAAAGTATGTTGTAATTAGACGGAGATAAGCGTTCAATATCAAATTCGGGAAATCACATCATCTAAAAATATTATCTTTGCAATAGTTTAATAATTTTGTGAGTTATTAAATAATAATTAAATGAACTTTGAGTTATTTATTTGCAATTATCGAGTAAGTTATTAATCATTTGAATTTTTAGCATGAGTTATTTCATTCAATGTACTAACTTGCATTTGAATTCCAACCTTGTATTGTGAATTTCTAGCTTCAATGTGCATTTCTACTTCCCAAGTGAAACAAGAGTTGAAAAATTAGTAAAAAGTGAAAACATATGAAATGCTCTCAAACTTGAAAACATATTTGAAGTTTGAACACAAAGCAAACATGAAACATTGTTAAACCCCAAGCACATGGGTATATCATATATGGAACACATGTTGTTTCCCTGCGAAATCAAATATCCACCGCCAGCGCCGAATTTGTTTCGGGCGGTGTTGATTTGATTGTT